TCTTACGAACAAATTCAACATGAAAATGATCAACTAAGAGAGAAAGTTAATTTTTATGAACGTCATTGGATGCCTAAGTATTTATTTCTTATAGTTATTCTAAGTAATATGTTTTTTTTCAACTAGACCTATTGGATCTGCTTTGACTTATTTTGTTAATGATGAATATGAAAAGAAAAAAAAAGATAAATTAAAAAAAATCTCTCTTGTACTGAATATGAATTTAGATGAATTTGAATCATTCGAAGACCCAAAGCACATTACGATAACTTGTCGACAATTAGTAAAGTTTTTGTATCCAGATGTAAATCAACGTTCTACAATGAAAATATCATCCATGTCGAAAGAACATGTTAAAGCTATACGTGGTAGGTGTCTTAGTTATTAAAAATAGATCATTATTGTTTACATTTCCAGAATATGCACGGCTTGCCCATCCAAATCAATCACAAACATCGAATTTTATTTTGAATAATGCAATTGGCAATGTTTTTTCATCAGAAAGAGACAAACAAAAAAAATCTGGATCCAAATCACGTTGAGAAGGAAGAAGAAAATAATGTTTTGAAATTTTTTCTTGATGTAAATGTGTTTATTATTGTATATATCATATGAAATTGTTCATTTTGCTCATATTTGTATTATGTAGGCCTAGAAAAAAAAATATTGAAAATATTTTCCAGTAACCTTTCAAAAAACAATTCATTCTCTATAAGGATCACTCCATATTTAAGAATATATCTATCCTTACGATCAAATACAATCTTCAAACACCAGTTTGATATATTCCACCGCTTACATTATTATCTTTATATGTTTTTTTGCTTTCAAGAGAATGCTTTCTACTAATCTTAGCTCAGTTATTCATTTGCATTCCAGAATCAACCATTTGAGTACATCAGCTTCCACTAAACATTATTTTTCACTAGACAAAATGACTATCGATAACAATATAGGAAAACAGATTACAGAACAATTACATATACAGTATTTTTAAATTGCCATAATGTAATAACCAACATCATCACATCAATGCACAGTAATCCGTTATGAGACATAGCCAATCAAAAAAATAATAACCATCATACTCTTATTGTGAAACCATTCCATTAATTTGCATTAAGGATAAAACATTTAAGATAATCATATTACTCAACAAGATAACGCATTTTAATGCATCGCAGATGACAAAGTCGAACATAGTCATATCATTCAGAAGCGTAAAGTCCTATAATGTATTACAAAAAAACCCAATATAATCATATCATTTAATCGTGATGTGTTTTGATGTATCACAAAGAAAAAGGCAATATCGTCATACCATTCCAAATCTAATGCATTATAAGATATTAGAAATGAAAAACAATCAACATTATCATATAATTGAGCATGTGTGCATTATAATACATAGAACAAAAAAAAACAACATGTCATCACCGAATAGTATTGCACTAACTATAACATATCACAAACAAAAACTAATCGACATCATCATATCGTTCAATAGTAATACATACTGATACATTTTTAAACAACAACAAATGAGATTCTCATATTGTACAATAGTAATACATTATAATGTATTGGCAATAAAAATTAACCAACGTCATCACATCATGGAATGATAATGTCTTACATTGCAGTAGAGATATAAACAAATCAACGTCGACCTCACTTCATTCAGTATTCACGCTTCACGATGCTTTGATAATAAGTGATAATGAACATCATCATGTCGTTCAAAAGTAATTCAATATCATGCATTACAAATATTAAAAATTGGCAGTAGGTCATTATTCAATAGTTATGCATTGAAATACATTAGCAATAAAAACAAATGACCATCTGTATATGACGCGAACGTATTGCATCATAATACATTGAAAATGAAAAAAAGTGAACATCACCATATTATACAATACTAATACATGAAAAACATAAAATAATTCACATTATTATATCCCTTAAAAATTCATACATTAAAATGCACTAAAATATAATCAAGAGTAGATGTATGAGCACTATTTAAGGGTTACATTTTTTTTAAGCGCAAAAAAGAGACTTCTTATCACGAGATAATTTTAGATACAGATGATCATTAAAAAAAAGACATTTTTGATCACTAAATCGTCCAAACAATTATCTAATAATTTTATTTCCAACACAACGTAGTGTACAAAAAAACTGATTAAATATAAAGTATAACGACAAGCATTTCGACAGTTTCATTAATATCTATTTACAACCTAAAGCTCTCCTAACTTTCTTAGGGCGTCCTCTTGCTTTTCGTTTGCATAACTTTCGATTACATGCTTGATCCCTAACTAGGGAAAAATTAATTTTGATTGCGACACTTTGTAAAAGTGTCATACTGAACCTGACAAAATTCTAGATTTGGCTAGCATTTTCTGAACATTCTAAGGTTCAAGCAAAATCTGATCATATCTGAAACTATTTTCTACCTCCACAAACAGGATTCTCTTTGAAGAAACCCCACGGTATTTACCCTACCAAATTGAGTTCTATTGTTTTCATCAAGGTATTTTTTCAAATTCTCAACAGGCGAAATGATTCCGTAGATGTCTTCCGAATGAGATCATTTGCTTCAATACTTACCGAACAAACCATACGACCACATTTTTCAATACAGTCCCTCAGGCTTAAGTCCATTTCCACAAAAGCAGCCACTCACCTCTCTTTCACCAACTGCTACCTTTTTCTCTCTGCACAATCAATAATGAACATTAAAGTCGTTTACCTTGGAAGAGAGAGCGTCTCATTCAATTGATAATTAAAAACAGCTTCAGTAGAATAAAACATTATTTCCTAATAATAGTAAAAATAATATCGTGCCATTCTAAATAAAAATAATCCCGAAAAGTAATAAAAAGCATTTATATTTTACGAAAACATCAACTTACCATTTAGTTATCATTTGAAATAAACCTAAATGGAAAAGAAAAGAATACATTTCTTATTCATATGATAACTTACCATTCAAGTAATATTTCAAATAAACCTAAATAAAAAATCAAAAGAATTAATTTCTTATTTCTATAAAAATTTCATATTCAATTACCATTTCACATGAATCTCAATAGAGGAAGAAAAGAACTTGATTTTTATTATAAAAAAACTTCTCATCCCATTGTTATATCAAATAAACCTAAATAGAAAACAAAACGAAATTTGTTTTTATTAAAATACAAAGTCACCATTTCATTGTTATATCGAACACAACTAAATAGAAAAGAAAAGAATCCTTTTAATAATATGAAAAATTAGCATTAAATCAATATTTCCAATAAATCTAAATAGAAAATAAAAAGGACTTAATTCTTGTTAATATCAAAGTTTACCGTTCAAGTACTATTTGTATTAAACCTAACTAGAAAAAAAAGAAGTTTTTTCAACTGAAATAAAAAGTAACTATTCAGTTGTTATACCAAATAAACTTAAATAGAAAAGAAAAGAATTGATTTGTTATTAAAATAAAAACTTATCATCCTATTGTGGTTTGAAATGAACCCAAATAGAAAACAAAAATAGTTTTTTTTTATTGAAACAAATACTCACGAATTCAATCACTGTTTCAAGTGAACCAAAATACGAACAAAAAGAATTCATTTCTTGTTCATACGAAAGCTTACCATTCAATTATTACTTGAAATAAACTTAAATAGAAAAAAAGAGTTTACTTCTTGTAAACATGAAAGCTTACTATTTAATTATTATTTGTACTAAACCTAAATAGAAAGCAGAGAAAAGTTTTCCTTCAATTAACATAAAAACTCATCACTCAGTCGTTGTGAAAAACAACCTAAAAAAAAAGAATTGATTTGTTATCAACATAACAACTCACCATTCCATTGTTGTTTCAAATGAACCTAAATACAAAATCAAAACAAGCCTTTTCTATTCAAACAAATACTCACGAATTCAATCACTGCAGGAAATAAATCTAAATACAAAACACAAAGAAGTCTATTTTTATTAAAATAAAATCTCACCATGCCATTGTTATATCTAATACATCTAAACAGAAAAGAAAAAAAAATTTATTTCTTATTAGTACGAAAACTTACTCTCTAATTAACTAAAATGCAGAAAGACAGAAAAGAAAAAGAAAGTGGGTGTGCTGTAGAATGTGAAGGCAAATAGAAACGCCAAGCCCAAACCGCACACCCACAACCTAATCACAATAACAGTAAACTTGAAGACTAATGCATAATAATCTATTATATTCAAATAATATCACTTGATGGTAAGAGATCGTACTCTTTCGAAGCGTAATGAGTAGTGAACATGAGGAATCATTCAATAAAAAAAAATTCAAAAAAAAAATAGTTCCTGATGAATCTTAGAATGACATTGCAAAGGAATGCATTACACTGCGTTATATTAAACAAACCTATAATACTGAACAATAAGTATAATGTTATTTTGGAGCAAGAGATTGTAAAGTATTGAAAATATCGATACTAAATACAGAAATATCATCACAGAATAAATGATGCGATAAAATGTACCTTGTAACAAACATATTAACATGATTGAAGAGAATAACCGATTACCATGCTTTACATTCCCATAACATATAATATCCAAAAAAACATAATATCATTTAACAATAAGAGATTCTATTCTCTTAATAAAACATTAATAGTGAATAAACGAATATCATAGAATGACCAATCCAATACGATTTAATCGATATTGAACATAACAATATAATCGAAGAAAGTTCCATTGCAATGTATTATATTCCACTAGCATCTAATAAAACAAAAAAAAAAATTTTCATTCGATGGCAAAATGACTCATTTTTCTGCAAAATAATGAAAAGTAGCTATAATAAACTAACAAAGCAATAACATCTATTCAATGATGCATATAAGAATAACATTGAGAAATTATGAATTACAGTATATTATATTCCAATAATCTATCACAAAACAAAAAAGAGCAATATCATCTGATGAAAGAAGATTCTATTATGCTGAGAAAAGATAAGCGGTAGATATCATACAATAAAATGTGCAACGAATTAAACATAATAGTAAACATGAGCATATCATTAAAAAATAATGCATTAAAAAACATTATATTCCAATAGCATATAATGAAACAAAAATAAAAGATAACATTTGATAACAATCGACTGTATTGTCTTGAAAGCTAATGGAAAGTCAATGTCCTATACTAAAACTGAAAAAAACAGCTATACCTGAATAATGAACATAGGAAATTTAATTGAAAAGTAATGAATTATAACGCATGTTATTCGATGAATATATAATCGAAAAACCAGCAGTATAGTATTTGATGGAAATCAATCCTTTAGTATTAACGTTGAGATAAAATATTCATTATAGTGAAGATGAAAATCACTCGTATGATCAGACAGTGGCTGGACGGCTCACCGACCCTACAAAATTTTGAGCCTCCGCTAACAAAATCTTCGATATGTGTATTTTACTCATAAGAGCGTCTAAAAAATCCGTAAATATACACTGAGTCCCCCTAAACGAATAAAATATAC